AATAGTTCTTTTATGAACACTAGTATGCATGCGTCTTTTCAATTAAAGTTTTCTCCAGATATATTCCCAGCAGTGGGATTCCTGGATCATATGGCAGCTCTAGTTTTAGTTGTTTAAGGAGTTTCCATAGAGCTTTCCATAGTAGCTGTACCAATTTACATTCCCATCAACAGTGTTTCCTCCACACCCTCTCCAGCATTCACTACTTACAGACTTTTTTTATGGTGACTATTCTGACTGGTGTGAGGTGGTACCTTATTATAGTTTGACTTGCATTTCTCTAATAATTAGAGATTTTGAGTATTTTTTCATGTCTCTGTTGGGCATCTGTATGATAAGATCATTATTTTTATACAAACTCAATATTGACTTGTAAACCTACAGCCAATACTTTTTCTAAAATGAGAATAAAGCAAGTATGCCAAGTATATCACTATTATTTTATAATATTGCTCTGGAAACTGTGACAAGTGTAATACAAAATAAAAGTTAATATATGATCATTTGATCCTTCTCATTACTTCTCCCCTTGATTATTGAACAGACCTTTTCAATTGGATTCCTTCCCAGTGTGGAGGTGAAAGTTTTCAACTTAATATGTGAACTCTTTAGCACAGAAGGGCTTTCACTGCCTCTGCCCACCTTCTCTGTCCTCTTATCTCACCATCCTCCCTCCCTTCATTCCAGTCTTGTATCAGCTCCTAGAAGTGAAACAAGTTGCCTAGTACCTTAGCAACCATCATCCTCTTTCTGAAAAGTCCACCCTCTTATCCTTTTTCTTCAAATTCATTTGAAGTGCTACATCCTCTAGAAAACCTTTCATGACTTCCTCTAGTCATATTTCTAGCCCCTATCCTAGATATTCATAGAATCTTGGGGGCACTGAGCTATGAAGACATGTATCATACTGTTCTGCAACCACTAACATAATTGTCTGTTCTCACCTACTAGAGTACAAGTAGCAGATAAAAGTACTGGGGAGACGAAGATGTCAAGGGTGCAATGGAGAAGAGTGTAAGAGAAAAATCTAACACACATTCCACTAGAAATCCAGGAAAAGAAGGCATCTAAGTAGAAAGAAGCCTTTAGCTTTGACATAATGAAGAAGATTCCAAAATATCTCTTCTAGAGCTAACGAATGGCATTTAGAAATTTAGAATAGGCAAAAGGACACTACTTATCTACAACTTCAATTAGCCAAAGCACCAAGGGCCAAAGAAGGAAGGATAAAAAAAACAGCAAAAAGGGCAAAAAGCCCTTTCCCGTCTCTACTCTTCTTCTAGAGATGGAAAAAGTCTAATTCTGGTTACTCTGAGACAGGATATATTAAGAGCAAAATACATGGTAAGCAGAGGAAAGAAAGGAAGCACGCCTATCAACTCAGATTTCAGAGTCTGAGACATTAATGGCTTAAACGGAAAATGAACTTTAGGCGAAAAAAGAAACGACAAAGAACCCTACAAAGGTTCTTTGTAAGAACCCTACAAAGTCTCCATGACCCCGTCCCCACGCTCTACTTCAGATATGGAAGAAAGCACAGGAACAAAATTCATCAACTCTCACCTGTTAATACTTAACTCTAGAAAAACAATGTATAGAACATTGGCAGAAAGAAAAACAGACCTTAAAAATGTCAAGGCTAGAGGAATCACTTTGGGTGGCCTTGACCCCACAAGAGGGAACAGGAATGCCCAATGGGCAAGACACCAACAATTCTGCCCAGGGAGCCCACACCGTTCTTTCACGCCGATGAATACCAGGAACCAGTTCTACCATTCGAGATAAGGTGCAGCTTACGGAAACTTGGATTTAGAGTTCAGAGTTACAATGAAGTTGGGAGCAGAGGGAGGCAATTCCTGTTTTCATCTTGTCAGTCCCTTTAACCAAGAGATGAAAAAATATATCTTCATTTTATGGATTCAGAAAAGTACAAGTGTTAGTCGCTCAGTCGTGTCCGGCTCTTTGCAACCCCATGGGACTGTAGCCCACCAGGCTCTCCATGGGATAGTCCAAGCAAGAATACTGGAGTGAGTCACCATTCCCTTCTCCAGGGGATCTTCCCAACCCCGGGATTGAACCCAGGTCTCCTGCATTGCAGGTAGATTCTTTACCATCTGAGCCACCAGGGAAGCCCTTTATGCATTCAGAAAGGTAAAAGTAAAAGTTGTTCAGTCATGTCCGACTCTTTGAGCCCCTATGGCCTATACAGTCCATGAAATTCTCCAGGCCAGAATACTGGAATGGGTAGCCAACCTTTCCCTTCTCCAGAACTTTTCAACCCAGGGAGCGAACCCAGGTCTCCCACATTGCAAGAGGATTCTTTACCAGATGAGCCACAAGGGAAACCCTTTATGCATTCAAAGACTTACAAATTCACTCTACAAATAAATGTGGGTACAGACTACCTGGCATGCTACAGTCCATGGTGTCACAGTTGGACACGACTTAGTGACTGAACAACAGACTACACCAGGCGCTCGGGGGGCCTGGGAGAGCAGGCGTGATCCCTGGAACACAGAGCACTCAACCTAACAAGAAGACAGTAAGAAGCAGGTACACTACCACCTCCGTTTATGACCAGAAGGAAGCACCATAGACATACAGAGGACTCGCGAAAGCCAGCCAAAAACAAACCATGCCTAAGATGAAACCCAAAGGAAGAATATACCACACAAAGCAAAAGCATATGTGATGGTTAGGAGGCAAAATAGTTTTGCACATCTTAAGGAAATAAAAATTTAGAAAGGCTAGTGCAAAAGAAGTTGAAGAAGGGGGAGAGGAGGGACCAGAGAGACGGAGCTGGAGAGATGAGGAAAGCTGGACCACCCGAAGTCCTACAAACCAGGTTCTTAAGTCTGACTTCTATTTTAAAAACATTAAGAGTTACCGGGAAGGGTTTTAAGCAAATAAGTCATTTGACCAGAACTGTATATTTTGAAAGCTCTTGGGCTGTGTGGTGTGAAAAGTAATCAGAAAAGGAGATCAGTTAGGAAATGGCGAGGCTACTCAGGTCAACAGCAGTGATCACAAGATAAAACAGAAACCAAAAAGCACAGAAAATAATTAAGTCTGATGACCCACAGTCCAGAACAGAAGGAATAATGATGTTTAGAAATAGCTCCCGGTCTGTTACACCTTAAATGAAATCAACTCTTGCAACTGTCCTACAGTTGCCTTAGTATCCTCTACCCAAAATCATTCCTGACGTCAGTCACCAAATAAACCTGCCTTCCCTACTATATCCAAACTGTACCAACCAGCTCTCCAATGCAGTAACCATCTGGCATATGTGACTATTTGAATTAATTAAAATATATTTTAAAATGTATTTCCTCAGTAGCAACAGATCCATTTCAAGTGCTGAATAATAAGAGATGCCCAATGACTACTGAGTGCCCACAACTGTTACAGAGCATTTCCATCAGTGCAGAAAGAAAGATTTACTGGACAGTAACAGACAAGTGGTGTACCTACACCTGCTGCTTCACCCCATAACCCTAATGGGACCAACACAGCCATCTGAAAGGCACCTCTGAAAACAGACCTGCTTACCGTCTTAGACCCACACCTTCACAGTGTAGTGAAGAATCATGGTGTACAAACCACATGATAGACCCTGTGTTTTGGCTCATTAATCCCCACTATACTCTGAAGAAGTAGAAAAGCAGCAGGCATCACCCATGTTTTATAGGTGAGGACACCAAGGCACAGAAACTACCCTAACTGAAGCTATAAAGGCAATAATGGAGTCACAAATAAAAGCTGGAATCCCAAACACCCTGACCAGTGCTCCATTTGTTAGAGCAGTCATGGCTGATTTAAGTGCCCACAAACAGGAACTATTCTGTTTTACCTGAACAAAGCAACCACCTGCTCTACTGAATGGATCGCTATCCCCACGAGAGGGTCCTACCTGTTAGACATGTAAGTATGTATACATACACACACGCAGCCTATTGTAATACACATGTATGTGACGTGTGTGTAAAAAACTTAAAAAACAACATCAAAATTTAAAAAACAGAAGATACGTATTTTCTGAGTTTGCCCCAACCATCTTATCAATAATGGGACATTAAAAACATCAAAACTAACAGCACCAAGGTATGGTAGATTCCTGCATTATTATTTATCTTTCAACTATATTATATGATTACCTATTTTTAAAAAAATTGAAACCTAGAAGATCTGCATTTTGTAGTCTTTATTTCCTTCTGTAAACAGAGCAAGTCCTGACTTTTGTGTGCTACTTCCAAACCTGCAGCAGTAATGGGTAAACAGAGAGGCAATTCTTACATTTTTATTTCAACTACTTCATTAAGTAAAAAGAGTAAAATAATATATAGGGAGACATGAACCAAGTCAGAGACTACAGATATAAAATCCACATACAGCATTTACTTGTGACACTCATGACAACAGCAACTTTAAAATGCAACCGCCAGCATTCACTGATGAGTCTCTGTGCTCCAATACTGGGAAACGATTTACTTGGAGGTTCACTTGAATGATGTGAAAAATCTAAGAAGTAATTTGACTGCACTTGCCTAACATCTGAATTCTTACATATTTTAAATGTGGTTATACTAAATATTCAGGAAAAGAAGAAAACAAACAGAAGATTTACAGTTTTAAAGTATTGGGGAGCATACAAAATAATTATTTACAGGCTTCTAATTCTTGCCTTATTAATAAGTATGAATCAATCTATATAATATAAAAACTGAATGACTTTTTCCAGAAACTTGAAGCTTCCAAAATTAGTCTGAAAACTGTTTCTGAATTAAAAGCGTATACCTCCCTTTGACATGTAAGAATTATAAAGGAAAAGGGCATGAATGTTGATTTTAAGTCTAGAATATATTGACCACATCTAAATATAGTTGTGAAAAAGAAAAGAAACAGTCATCAACTTAGGTAGTAAAGTCTCTGCTTCATCAAATGCCTTGTTTCAATAAAAAGTCAGCAGAAAAAAATAGGCTTTAAGGTGAACTACTTACATTGCCTCCCTGGAGGCTCCATAGGCGAGTAGCAGCTTGACAATGTCCACATGCCCATTCTTCACTGCATCATGAAGAGGTGAGTCGTTCTGATACCCAGTGGTATTCACCAATGCCTTGTGCTGGAGCAGCAATTCCACCACCTTCAGGTGCCCGTGATTGCAGGCTTCATGCTGATTAAAGGAGAGTCAGAAGAGTAATGAGGAAGACCAATGAATAATATCATAACAAAACCACACTTCAGAAAAATAAAATATGAACCTCAGTCAGAAAATTGGTTCTTACCTAAATACTCATACAGACCGTAAATTATAGACAGAGTAAAACCATTCTTAATAGTCTTTAAGGTAAGATAGGTTGCAATCAAGATTTATGCAATTCATAAAAAAGATTTTTCTCATCTGAGCCTTGGGTCAAACGCTCTTTACTGGGAAAAAAAGGTAGCTTTACTCCAATTACAGTTCCTAAATTGCTCTATAGCAAGAAATTTAAAACGAGGGGGAAAAAAAACATAGAAAATATTTCAAAACCAGATCATGCATAAAATCTGAAATCCTTCAAGGCTGAATAGTATTCACTAAATCAAGTGCTTAGCCATAAGCTAAGTGGCGCATATGTACGTAAGCACCGCATATGTATGTAAGCACCCAGCAAAGTGAATATCCTAGGATGAGAATTGATGAGACAAGCCTCTCTAGTTGTGGAAGCTACAGATATTGTATGGCTGGTGTCAGTGACAACAGATGTAACACAGAGGAGGTGCTGAGAAGGAACGTAATGAATGACATAACTGGTAATGTTGGAATGTTCAAAGATGCTTCACACTGCAAACCTTCCTTATGTTTAATGATCTCCTAACGATGCCCCTGCGTTGTATTCTAAGAACTCTCTGGCATACCATGCCTTTTAAGTACATACCTTCAAATCTTAATAGGCAAAATACCACACTGAATGCTGGGAGGTCTATTTCTAAGAGAAAGGACTCCAAATTAGGTCTCATGTCCCCTAAATCATTCATTAAACTTTAATTTTCATTAAAGTTTGCCTCAGTTGCTGAAAAGAAAAATTAACCTTTCTTTGAAAAGGTTAGACAGGCTGTCTGTGGAGTGAAAACAGCAAAGTGACTCTAATCCAGAATAATCACTCCCAGCTTAAAAAATTGCAGGGAGAAGTCATTGTAGACAAGTTTAAAACCTTTTTTGCACCTGGTCTAAGGAGAATCTCTCCATTTCTTCCAATTTACAGTTCACAGAATAAGGGTATCCATCCCATCTCTTGATATTCTATGGCTGTATTCAAACCACGTGCTAACTGTCCTCATGGTCCACTCAGCACTTGTTTCCACGTACCTGTGCCATTCTTTTCTGTTCTTCACATTGTATTTGTAGCAATGAAAAGCAAAGACTTTAAAAAGTGTTTAATGTGAGCAAAGATTTCTACTACCTCTGTGTGTCTGTAACCGGACAGGGTATAAGTGAGGCCAAGACAGACGCTCAGTAAGAACCGCTGCCGTGTGCTACATTCCTACACCCAGTTCTTGACTTCTTTTTCCTGAAAACTGTGGTTCCAATGACATGCAGTGCTGCAGAATAGAGCCTGATGTCTGTTGTAGCAGTTAGCTTTCCATACATGAGCTAAATTCAGCAATATAGTGGAACCAGATTCTTAAATCTAGATTTAAGGTCAAAAGGTAGGCAGTTTTTCACCTGTCACAAATGAAAAGCTAGATGAAACATGACATTTACCCTTATTTGTTTAAAACATGAGTTCTTCAGATTAAAAAGACACTATATATATATATATATATACACAGCAGACGGTAATATAGACACCTACATAACTATAGTAACTATAAACCATAAAAGGAAGACAATAAAAAAAAAAAGAAGAAAACTACCAATGGCGTCCATCCAGCATGGTCTTTAACATTTGGATCGCTTCCACATTGTAAGAGGTATTCAACAGAAGGGATGTCGCCCTAGTAGAACAATGAGAAAGTACAATTAAAAATCACCAAGGAAAGAAAAAAAAAACTCATGATTTTCTATTTCTTCTTTAAGATTTTTGTCTTCTTCAAGATAAAATTTAAATCTGTTCTATGCCCATTGCTCATGAGTCAATAAATAATAAGTTACTCATGCATGGATTGTTCTGAGATATCAACTCAAACTCATGTCGTCCATCTCTGAATAGAGTCTAGTATCTCTGCTATAGGTAACCTGTATCAAAATTCATTTCAAAATACCAAGGAGAGTAGTGAAAGTTCATCTGATCACAATGAAGTTTTGAACGTCACCATTTCATTTGTTAAAAACATCCTTTTTGAGGAAACAAGAAAATGATTTCTGATTATCATTTAAAACAAAATTAAAGCCAAGAGGGCATCTTGTTGAAGCCAATGTTAAACCCAAAATTGCTGTCTTATTCATAGCTAATCCACTGATCATCAAGACATTAATTTAGTTTCAGTTCAATTCAGTCACTCAGTCGTGTCTGACTCTTTCTGATCCCATGAACTGCAGCACGCCAGGCCTCCCTGTCCATCACCAACTCCTGGAGTCTACCCAAACCCATATCCATTGAGTCGGTGATGCCATCCAACCACCTCATCTTCTGTTGTCCCCTTCTCCTCCTGCTTCAATCTTTCCCAGCATCAGGGTCATTTCAAATGAGTCAGCTCATCGCATCAGTGGGCCAAAGTATTGGAGTTTCAGCTTCAACATCAGTCCTTCCAATGAACACCCAGGACTGATCTCCTTTAGGATGGACTGGTTGGATCTCCTTGCAGTCCAAGGGACTCTCAAGAGTCTTCTCCAATACCACAGTTCAAAAGCACCAATTCTTCTGCACTCAGCTTTCTTTATAGTTCAACTTTCACATCCATACATGACCACTGGAAAAACCATAGCCTTGACTAGATGGACCTATGTTGACACAGTAGTGTCTCTGCTTTCTAATATGCTGTCTAGGTTGGTCATTAACGTTCCTTCCAAGGAGTAAGCGTCTTTTAATTTCATGGCTGCAGTCACCATCTGCAGTGATTTTGGAGCCCCCCAAAATAAAGTCAGCCACTGTTTCCCCATCTATTTGCCATGAATGATGGGACCAGATGCCATGATCTTAGTTTTCTGAATGTTGAGCTTTAAGCCAACTTTTCCACTCTACTCTTTCACTTTCATCAAGAGGCTCTTTAGTTCTTCACTTTCTGCCATAAGGGTGGTGTCATCTGCATATCTGAGGTTATTGATATTTCTCCTGGCAATCTTGATTGCAGCTTGTGCTTCTTCCAGCCCAGCGTTTCTCATGATGTACTCTGCATACAAGTTAAATAAGCAGGGTGACCATATACAGCCTTGACGTACTCCTTTTCCTACTTGGAACCAGATGTTGTTCCATGTCCAGTTCTAACTGTTGCTTCCTTCTCAAGAGGCAGGTCAGGTGATCTGGTATTCCCATTTTTTGAAGAATTTTCCACAGTTTGTCATGATCCTCACACTCAAAGGCTTTGGCATAGTCAATAAAGCAGAAATAGATGTTTTTCTGGAACTCTGTTGCTTTTGTGATGATCCAGTGGATGTTGGCAATTTGATCCCTGGTTCCTCTGCCTTTTCTAAATCCAGCTTGGACATCTGGAAGTTCATGGTTCACGTACTGTTGAAGTCTGGTTTGGAAAATTTTGAGCATTACTTTACTAGCATGTGAGATGAGTTCAATTGTGCGGTAGTTTGAGCATTCTTTGGCACTGCCATTCTTTGGGATTGGAATGAAAATTGACCTTTTCCAGTCCTGTGGCCACTGCTGAGTTTTCCCAGTTTGCTGGAATATTGAGTGCAGCACTTTCACAGTATCATCTTTTAGTATTTGAAAGAGCCCAACTGGAATTCCATCACCTCCACTAGCTTTGTTCGTAGTGATGCTTCCTAAGGCCCACCTGACTTCACATTCCAGGATGTCTAGCTCTAGCTGACTGAGTGATCATATTCACCTTAATTTCTCAAAGTTATTTTTCAGGCAAAGGCAAGGCTTATTTTCTCAAAAAAAAAAAAAAAAAAAAAAAAGTGGCAGCTTACTCTGAAATGCTGAATAAAGAAAAGTTACATGTGATAAAAGTTATATGCCAATGTTGTGTTTTGAGAAGAGCTTCTTTAGGGAAAAGGAAATCTCTCTCCTACAACAAGAAGCCCCAACTCCTATGAAATAAGCTATTCTGTATTGGTTGGAAAATGCAGAAGTCACTAAATCCCCTCAAGACAGTAACATTTGCTTTTACTGGGCTGTTTCACACTACCTCTCAAATACAGCAAATCTTAAGATGGTAGCTCACTCAGTTTGCTAAAAGAAAAAAGCAAAAACAAATCTTCATGCAATGTATATTTTTAAGTTCCTAAATTACCAAAAAGACCTTAAATATTCAATGGGCCTAAAAAGAAAGCACTCTACATGTTTCAAATCAGTTGCCCTATGTCCAATAAAAAATTATTTCCCATAGTTCCTCAGAGGAGCAATTCTACACTTCTGGTGCAAGTTAGCATACATTTAGCTACTTTTGCACTATGTTTAAGTCAGTTCCAAATGAGCTCAGGAACATCTGTCAAGATACAAATTTGATGGGGAGGGATGTGGGAGTGGGGTTCAGGATGGGGAACACATGTAAATACATGGCTGATTCATGTCAATGTATGGCAAAAACCACTACAATATTGTAAAGTAATTAGCCTCCAACTAATAAAAATAATTGGGAGAAAAAAAAATACAAATTTGATTTTTTTTAAAGAATCCCATGAATACTGGGGCAGATGAACCGCCAGAACCACACACATTCCCAACCTTCAAAATGAACGTATCCACAAAAAATACACAAAAACCTTCCCAAAAATATCCTCAATCTAATTCTACACAGCAATCACAAAAACATATTAACTTAAAGAAGCCTGTACAATAATATAAACACAACTGTGGAATGGAAGAGTCATATGGAAGTTATGTAGACAATTAGAGTGAAAATTTGGAAACTAAAAGCAAAATCTCTTTTAAAGTCACTAGCCGGTGGTAGTTTTCTTTGAAGTCACCTCTTCATATTATCAAAGGTGTCTTCTGTTAACATTTTACCCCTAGACTACCCTGAAATGTACAAACAAAGCTAGTGGAGGTGATGGAATTCCAGTTGAGCTATTTCAAATCCTAAAAGATGATGCTGTGAAAGTGTTGCATTCAATATGCCAGCAAAATGGGAAAACTCAGCAGTGGCCACAGGACTGGAAAAGGTCAGTTTTCATTCCAGTCCCACAGAAAGGAAATGCCAAAGAATGTTCAAACTACTGCACAATTGAACTCATCTCACACGCTAGTAAAATATTACTCAAAATTCTCCAAGCCAGGCTTCAACAGTAAGTGAACAGTGAACTTCCAGATGTTCAAGCTGGTTTTAGAAAAGGCAGAGGAACCAGAGATCAAATTGCCAACATCTGCTGGATCATCAAAAAAGCAACAGATTTCCAGAAACACATCTACTTCTGCTTTATTGACTATGCCAAAGTCTTTGACTTGTGGATCACAATAAACTGTGGAAAAATCTGAAAGAAATGGGAATACCAGACCACCTGACCTGCCTCTTGAGAAACCTGTATGCAGGTCAGGAGGCAACAATTAGAACTGGACATGGAACAACAGACTGGTTCCAAATAGGAAAAGGAGTACGTCAAGGCTGTATATGGTCACCCTGCTTATTTAACTTATATGCAGAGTACATCATGAGAAACGCTGGGCTGGAAGAAGCACAAGCTGCAATCAAGATTGCCAGGAGAAATATCAATAGCCTCAGATTTGCAGATGACACCACCCTTATGGCAGAAAGTGAAGAACTAAAGAGCCTCTTGATGAAAGTGAAAGAGTAGAGTGGAGAAGTTGAGCTTAAAGCTCAACATTCAGAAAACTAAGATCATGGCATCTGGTCCCATCATTCATGGCAAATAGATGGGGAAACAGTGGCTGACTTTATTTTGGGGGGCTCCAAAATCACTGCAGATGGTGACTGCAGCCATGAAATTAAAAGACGCTTACTCCTTGGAAGGAACGTTAATGACCAACCTAGACAGCATATTAGAAAGCAGAGACACTACTGTGTCAACAAAGGTCCGTCTGGTCAAGGCTATGGTTTTTCCAGTGGTCATGTATGGATGTGAAAGTTGAACTATAAAGAAAGCTGAGTGCAGAAGAACTGATGCTTTTGAACTGTGGTATCGGAGAAGACTCTTGAGAGTCCCTTGGACTGCAAGGAGATCCAACCAGTCCATCCTAAAGGAGATCAGTCCTGGGTGTTCATTGGAAGGACTGATGTTGAAGCTGAAACTCCAATACTTTGGCCACCTGATGTGAAGAGCTGACTCACTGGAAAAGACCCTGATGCTGGGAAAGATTGAAGCAGGAGGAGAAGGGGACGACAGAGGATGAGATGGTTGGATGGCATCACCGACTCAATGGACATGAGTTTGGATAAACTACAGGAGTTGATGATGGACAAGGGAGGCCTATCGTGCTGCGCTTCATGGGTTTGCAAAGAGTCGGACATGACTGAGCGACTGAACTGAACCCTGAAATGTATAGTTGATTTACAAATTGCTTGTTTTTTATACTCAGTCTGTTTTTTCCTCCCTAGTTCTGAAAAGTTTGTCATATTTTCTCCTTCTCCTTTATGTAGATGTAATGTCATGCACATAAATAAAATTATGATAATTAGATAGCGTCCACAGCAACGAGGTAAGCTTGAACCAATATATAGTTTCCAGGAAATAAATTAATTTCTGCTTCTGATTTCTTGAAATTACTTTCTTCTCAAACAGAATATTTTCTGAGTAATAAGAACTCACTTCTAAGCTTCTCACAACTTACAAGAATAATTGAGATTCTCTTAAACCACAGAAGGAGGAAAAATCATCAGAGGAAACAGTATTTACCAAGGCTTACAAAAATTTTTAAACAGACTTGATGTTTTCAAATAATACCTTAAAGGGAACATGTGTCACATTGAATCTTCTTATTGCTAACCTTTCATTCAAAGGAAATATTCTTCACGTATTCATGCATATGGCATCAATACAAGTTAACTTTTCAAAAACAAATACTCTCTCACACAAAACTTTTTCCTTTTAAAGGTAAGCTGTTTAGAATAAATATGTGTATAAAAATAGTAGAGGACAGTACAGTTAAGTACAATAATAATGACCTACCGAAGGTGGCATTAGTTGTAAAGAAAGTCCCTGCCAGTGCAGTAGATGCAAGAGATGTGGGTTCAATCCCTGGGTCGGAAAAATTCCCTGGAGTAGGAAATGGCAAACCATTCCAGTCATTTTGCCTGGAGAATCCCATGGACAAAGAAGCCTAGTGGGCTACTGTCCATGGGGTCACAAAGAGTCGGACAAGACTGAGTACATACACACAGCAACACCCAAAAAGGTTTAAGCTTTTACACATAAATGAACTAACCAGGTACCTAAAATTTCTCCTTTTAGCAATTAGGTACTGTTGGTGCCAGCTTGAAGACAGAGGAAAAGGGCCACATACCCAGGAATGTGAGTCTCTAGAACCTGAGAAAAGCTCTTAGCTATAAGCCAGCAAGAAAACAGGATCTCAGTCCTACAACCACAAGGAAGTATACAGTTCCTGCAAATAACCCAGATAAGCAAGGAAATGGGTTCTCTCTTAATGCCTCCAGAAAATAACACAGCCAATGAACTGATTCTAGTCTGGTGAGACTCATACCAGACTCTGACCTAGAAAACTGTGAGAAAATTAGTTTACCTTGTTTAACTCACTAAATTTGTGGTTACTAGCCATGACAGCAACGGAAAACTAGTTCAAGTGGCTAGGACAGGAAAGCACAAGTATCTTCCACTAGGGTGACAGCCACGGCCAACAGAGGTGCCCAGGAGTCGCTATGGGGCAGGACATTAAAGAATTCCAGTAACGATGTGGCCAAGCTCAAAGGTCCTTCTCTAAAGCCATCACTGTAGCAAGGGATGCTAACCAGCCCAACAGAAGCGTAGAACTACTATGGGATTCTCAGACCTCAGAACATCCACCAGGTGTCCAAAGTACAACAGTGCACACTTAGGATCTGACGGAAACAAGGAAAATGTGGGCGCTGCACATTTACAAGATGTTTCTGGAGAAAATAATAACAACAACAAAATCTATCTCTGACAGCAAAACACTTCATCTGTTCTGTCGACCTGCAGTGTCATCAGATCTGTATTCATCACTCAGCTGCTGTAACTCTTTCCTTTTCCCTGCTCTTTGTTCAATGTTATCGTATAGCTGACCCTTGAATAACACAGATTTGAACTGCATGGGTCCACTCAAACACACATTTTTTTCCATAAATATACTGGAAAAAATTTCGAAGTTTGTGACACTTTGAAAGAACTTGCAGACACACCAGGTAGCATAGAACTGTCAAAAAAATTAAGAAAAGTTAGGTATGTCATGAATGCATAAAATATATGTAGATAACAGTTGATCCTTACCCTGATCTACAGTGATATTTAAATTAAATTAATAATGCATTAGTATTCTTACACTTTTATAATTTTGCTCTCAAAGAACTACACTACCATACAAGATGCATCTCTGTACAGTATGCCTCTCTCTTGCCACTGGAGAAACTGCACATCAGTCTATATCACAGGTAAGTCTTTTTTTTTAAATGTAACAATATTTCCAACAGTGTATTATGAGTATGACACTGTAGGCTATAAAAATCTTATGATTCACTTACGGAGTATAGGCTAGGCTACAGTGATGCAACTGTATCAGTTACACTAGTCTACCATAAAGCAATCACACTGCTGCTTCACTATCAACGCATGAATCGTTATACCTGCTAATAAATATGAATTTCTTTTTCACAATATCTTTTCATTTTTGATGTCTAGTGTTAGTACTGCATATACCAAGTACACTATTTTATATCATACAAGACAGCACTGATTTATGTACTGACAGACTATTCATCTCATAAACAGATGACATAAACTAATGTTATTTTGTATTGTATAAAAGCAGTACAGTATCATAAATGTTTTCCTTATGATTTTCTTAATTAACACGTATCTCTAGCTTCCTTGGTATTCTCTTGTGGTTCAGCTGGTAAAGAATCCGCCTGCAATGCGGGAGACCTGGGTTCGATCCCTAGGCTGGGAAGGTGCCCTGGAGAAGGGAATGGCTACCCACTCCAGTATTCTGGCCTGGAGAATTCCATAGACTGTATAGTCCATGGGGTCGCAAAGAGTCAGACACAACTGAGCAACTTTCACTTCTAGCTTCCTTTATTCTAAGAATACAGTATATAATACTTATAATATAGAAAATATGTATTCATTGACTGTTTATACTACCAGTAAGGGCTTCTAGTCAATAGAAGGCTATTAACTTTTTAGAGTCCAAAGTTACACGTGGATTTTGACTGTGTGGAGGTCAGCCCTCCTAACCCCTGCCTTGTTCAAGGGTCAACTATAGTTTTAACTTTAGGATCACCTCAAATCCTTTTCTGAAGTAGGTGGATAGGCAGCATAAACAAGACAGCAGAACCACAGCAATCAGTTTTCAAGTATGCATGGATTATTCATTCTGGGTTGCAAACAAAAAAATCAAGATAGTAAGTGAAATGAATACTATTATAAAAAGATAAATATACTGATAAATCCTTTGATTTTTCTTCAAGTATTTGTTTTGACTATTAAAATCAAGCTGAGACGGGAGCATACATTCTACTTATAAAAAATTTTTCAAAGAACATTACTGTTAAATAGGTATTTAAAAAACAATAGAAATCAATTAACTTTTCTTAAAGGCACTGTATCAGAATCTGCCACTGAGTGACAAAACAGTATCTGATAAGTTGCAGAGAATCAAAATTCTAGTTCTGGCATTATAATCTCTAAGTAAAATGACAATCTGACAAAACTTGCTCTGAAGCAATCTTGAGCATTATCAATGGAGAAAATTCAGCAAGACAGCATCATAGCACCGTATTTCCCTGCTTTAAGATGCCCCTGGGCTTTTCCCATGGCCCGAGCTGAGCACAGATAAATTATGGCCTGAAGCCTTGACACTGGACTTTGTGTGCAGAGCTCTACTGGTTCACAATATTGTCTATGGCTACTCTGGCACTAAAATAGAGCTGAACGGTTAAGACCATGTCACTACAGAGCTGAAAATATTCTCTTTAATTCCTCCTTTAATAAAGAGTTTGCCAAACCATGGCCTGGACTCTAGGTCCTAGAGATCCCCACTAATAACCCAAATGATTCTTATGATTGAAAGAAAAATTCTCTACCAAAGTAAGTGGATGCTTAACTGGCGGGCAGAAAATAATTCCCCGAAAGCAGAATGTGGAAACTAAAGCAGTCTACATTCATGCACTAGCTAGAAAAATGAACAAAGGAAATTGATTACTACGCTAGCTACTTATATCTATAAAGCATTAATAACACTATAATGTTAATACTGTTATACCTACTGTAATACATACACGAACACACACACACACACACACATATATATATAAATAAAACAAAGAAGACAAAAAATAAAGTCTGATTTTTTAAAACCATACCTTGCAAAAATCAGACTAAAATGGACCTAGAGCCAACTCCAAAAATGCAAGTTGTTCAAAGTATATGGATTGCCTAGAAAATAGTCATCTTACAGGGGAATCAGACAAAGAGTATTCTACATCCATCACTTATTAGAAACATTTTATGATGCTCACCACCTTCATGCTCATGGGTCTTGAGGGGTTCTTTCCAGACCTCCCTAAGTTCTCTACCCATGCAAAAGACCTCTAACAGTTTCCCAGTGAATTTACTGTAAGATCACAAAAGCTATCCTAATTCAGTACCCATCTTTTCCACATTACCATTGCATAACACCTGCCTGAACTCACAAGCCAAAGTCTACACAGCTGCATGGCCGAGTGCTCCCTCAGTGTCCAGCACCGGCATCACGGTCAAGGCGCAACATTGCAAGTGCACCTGAAGCGCAGCAGAAGAGGTAGCTTCAAAAGACAAATACTGCCACTTCTGAGGTGGAGAGGCAATAAACAGACATAAATCATAAAGAACGGGCTATTGAAAGGAATGGGCTGGCTGTGGGGCCCAGAGAAGTCCCTCTGTGGTGAACCACAGGAGTCATTCACGACACTCAAACTTCCAGTCACTGGAGGAATGCACAAGCCACGTGGTGTGACCTCCCGGACTCGGCACAGGCCCTCTAGGAGGGTCAAACAGAGAGAAGCTCAGGCCTTCTCGAACTGCCCTGAGCTCAGAGCTGGGTAAAAGACATGTGGCAACGGTGTGTCTATATCCATAAAACATGAGAAGAATGGGTAAACAAAATGGAGAAAACTTAACAAAAACATTGAAAGTGAAAAGTGAAAGCCATTCAGTCATATCCAACTCTGTGACCCCATGGACGACACATGGGACTCTCCAGGCCAGAACACTGGAGTGGGAAGCCTTTCCCTTCTTCAGGGGATCTTCCTGACCCAGGAATCGAACCAAAGTCTCCTGCATTTCAGGCGGATTCTTTACCAACTGAGCTATGAGGGAAGCCCAAGCAAAACCACTATGGAATAGAAAAAAGCAAAAGCACTTGGCAAAGCTGAAGCTGAAATATGGAAATACTGGTTTTCTCCTGCAAGGTCACGCTCCTCTGGCCCCAGGGCCCCTGCTCTGAGGTAGGGTTCCAGTCCCTATCAATTCTTGCTTCCCCGGTTCATAGGAAGTGCCACTTTTGGTCAGGTTAATTAGCCTAGTAACCACATCATTTTTCACGAACTCCAAAGAACCCATTGTATACTGGGTCTCACTGGGAAGCTGTGTTTCACAGTGAGCATCCTACCTTGATTGAAGCAACATGGAGCAGAGTCTCTCCTCGACGGTTTCTCTTCACAGCGGTAAGGCTGGTGGGCCACGGCTTCGTTGTTGAGGGACTACCCATCAGCCGTCTGTAACTGGGACTGTTCAGTGAAGACGGCAGCGTACTCGGTGAGAGGCTAATGGATTCATCCCGTATAGTGACGCTTTTCCTCCTTAACGTGGCACCAACTTTAAGTTTGTCTGGAGGTGGTGAAGAGCGGCCAGGCGATGGCATGTTTTCTGGCAGCACTGTTTGCTGAGCAGAGCTCCCACCAGTGCTCCGACTGCTGCTTCTGCGCCTCTTAGAGACAGGACTGGAGACTCTGCTGTGGCGCCCACGCGTCCCATTAGGACCTGACGGCAAGGACGTCTCGGACGGGAGACGGTTTGCAGAGACTGTCTTCTCAGGAGTCACCGCTTCATTCTTGCTCTCAATTTCTGGAGACTCTATATGATCAGCCAATGGTAAAAAGACTTCAGCCAAGTCCCCGAAACACTCAGATTCTGTTACGGACCCACTTGCTAGTAAGTCTATTTCACCATTTATCGGCAGGTTAGCAATCACAGATGGTTGGCTACAGAAGGACACCAGCTTTTCCTTACTTTCTTTTTTGGAGTCAAGGTCACCATCTTTCTTTTCTGCCTCTAAATTCCATTTTTGGTTGACTTCAGCTAAAGTTTTCTTTTTCTGTTTTTTTCTAGACTTTGTGGAAGGCTTCTTAGGCCTCTCAGAAACCTCCACCGGAGGGCTCGTAGAGACAAATTCGTACATGGAGGTCTGCTGAGCATTTTCATCATTTTTCACAGAAGGCTGGGTTTGCACTGAAAGTTTATTCACAGTATATCTGACTTTCTTACTTCGAGGACTAAACCACATTTTTATTGAATTCTTCTTATTTTGTGCATCATTAAAAAAACTTTTCCTAGATGTTTCTTCTTTCAAATCTGGAAAAGGATAGGAAAAAGGAAAAGAAATTTGTTACATGAACTTAATCTCTCCCATCTTGAGCTCTCAAAAAATTGTGTTGATAGTTCTCCTAAGGTGTATCGCCTCTTATTTGTGTACCTCTTCCTTCCTTCCTAGATTATGAAAGCAAATATCCTCATTCAACAAATATTTACAGAGTCCTACCTGATTTCAGACCATGTTCTAGAAACTTATATGCCACTGCAAAAGACAAAATATACAAACAAATAATTAGAACATACAGTCTGCTGTATGGAAGTGATAAGAGTCATGGGAAAAAGCTATACTAAATTAACAGATTAACAGGAGAGACTTTATTAATAAACAGTAGTCAAAAAAATTAAGACTTATTAGCTGGGGAGGGAATAAAGTCAAGAGAAAATAAAAACTTATTAGCTGATGCTTAATTTTAAAAGAGGACTTTTGAAAATTAATCAATATAATTTACTATAAAAAAACTAAAAAGAAAAACAGGTGGTTTCTCTCAACAGATATAGAAAATATATACACTGGCCAAATCCAGTGTCCATTCATTATTTTTAAAAAGGCTCACCATTAGGGATAGAAGGAAACTTCTTCAACGTGCTAAGGACATCTACAAAACTACACACCACTAGTGCCATGTCCTTAATGAAGAAAAACTGGAATACTATTTTGCTCCTATTATCTTGTTTCTGTCATCAAGACAAGGCAAAGATGTCCACTCTCACCATTCCTGTTCAACATCACACTGAAAGTCTTGGATAGCACACCAAGGTTAAGAAAGAAATATAAAAATCACATGAATTAGAAGATATAAAAATGTATCTGTTCAAAGCTAACTTGATTGGCTATATAGAATATCCCAAAGAATCTCTTAAAAAACCACTAATAAAACAAGTGACTGTTCAAGGTCATAGAATACAAAGTCAATATACCAAGTTCAATTGCAACTGTATTTCTATATACCAACAATGAACATATGGAAACTACCAGACAATACAAATTCTTGTTGGCAATGTTAAAGACTTCAACACCTATGCTAAGAGCAGAAGAAAACCACTAAAAGGTTTTACATCAATCAGGTGGCATGATTATATCTGTGTTTTCAAAAGCTCCCTCTTGACTGGAGTGTGGGAGAATAGGTTGGAAGAGGGCAAGAATGGATGCAAGAATAATCGTTAAAAGGCAAAGTAGTAATATAAGCAGAAGATAACAGCCTAGGGAGGTGATAATAGAGAAAGAAGTAGAATTATTTGAAAAATATTTAAGAGACAAGATTTAAAGGATTTGGTGATGAAATGAATAAAGGAGAAGAAGGTGACAAAAACAATTCATATGTCTCTAGCTTATAGCACTGGATGCACCTAGAGAAAAAACACTGATGCTGGCAGGGACAATCTGCCCAGGCTCCCGAGCACACCGACATGCCCTTGTGGGGTGTACCAAGAAGGCAAGGCCCTGGATGCTTTTTACTCAGGCCATTTCTCAGGACTGTGTGTGCAGCAAGCAACCCTGAGGGAGCAGTACTGTTTCCCCAGGGAAAAAAGCAGGCCCATTTCTGCTGTCTATGTGCATGCTAAGGCACTTCAGTCATGTCTGACTCTGTGCAACCCTATGGATTCTAGCCCACCAGGCGCTTCTGTCCCTGGGATTCTCCAATCAAGAGTACTAGTGTTATACACAGTCAATTCCCCAAAGCTCAGAGTTCCTTTCCTGTATCACAACCACCTGTATGTGTAGGAATCCATGATGGGCCCTTTGCCAAGTATCATCACAGATGCAAAGGTACACTGAGGAATTTCAAAAGCAATGTGATAAAATATTCGCAAATTTTTTTAAGCATATACTCTTTCAGAAGGCAATTTTACCTCTAGTAACCTATCTTACAAAATATACAAAATATTCACACATGTGCCTGCAAATCTGGATGTATGTGTTAACTGCAGCAATATTTGTAATAACCCAAATGAGGAAAAAAGTCAGTGTTTATCAACTGGAAATCAGTTAACTATGATGCTCCATAATTACAAAATGTTATTACAAAATCTTATGGAGCTGCTATACATGTCAACTAACATGCAAAGATCCTCAAGACACTTTAAGTGTAGCACAATCTTATTTACATTTTAAAAATTCTATTGAGCTTATATTCAAATATTTTCATAAATTCATAAAAAGAAAGATTAGGAAAGTTAACTAAAAACAGTACCTCTGAAAAAGATTTTGTGTTTTTTGGTTGGGAATAAAGGGTAGAGGGGGACTTTCACATTTTACTCTACACACTTTCATACTGCTTACTCAGTTACTAAAAGAATGTTCTCTTATATTTCTTATGTAAATTAAACAAACAGAAAATAAAACTTGTATAAAGTTACATACCTAATTGGTGACTGAGCTGGCATTTGAATTCCTAAGTTTTCACTAAGTAAAAATTAAAACTTTTCACTAAATACATACTATATGTAATATTGTGATTTATAAGAAATATACATTTGGTCTTTGTCCACCTTTGTTGTTGCTGTTTAGTCACTAAATTGTGTCCAGCTCTTTTGCAACATCATGGACTATAGCCTGCCAGGCTCCTCTGTCCATGGGATTTCCCAAGCAAGAATACTGGAAGGGGCTGCCATTTCCTTCTCCAGGGGATCTTTCCAACCCACAGATTGAACCTGTGTCTCCTGCATTGGAGGCAGATTATTTACTACTGAGCCACCAGGAAAGCCCACTGTACCAGGCACAGAGCTCCCAAAACCCTTGAAATTTCCTATATGAACCACAGGGGCATCTTTTGTTACATTTAATTGTGTTCCTAGTTACCAAAATAGCTCCAGTAAAAAAAGATAAAATGGGTGTCTTTTATTATTCATAACAAGCCCTAGTTCAACCACACCTGAGTTTATGTTAATAAGATATCAGAAAGTCCCTAAGGTCGGAGGCAGGTTGCCAAGGGAACCAACAAGGATTAGAGGGTTAGAATTTTCAATCCCACCCCCTGACCTCCAGGAAGAGAGGGACAGAGGTCAAGCCAATCACCAAAGGCCAATGATTTAATCAATCAAAACCCTGATCCGGCTTCCCTGATGGCTCAGACCATAAAGAATCTGCCTGCAGTGCAGGGGGCCCAGGTTCGATCCCTGGGTTGGGAAGATCCTCTGGAGAAGGAAATGGCAACTCACTCCAGTATTCTTGCACAGAGAATCCCAGGGACAAAGAAGCCTGGTGGGCTGCAGTCTATGGTGTCACAGAGTCAGACATGACTGAGCCACACACACACACACACACACCCCTACATAAAGAAGTCTCCATTAAAAAAAAAACTCCACACACACACACACACACACACACACACACACACACACACACCCCTACATAAAGAAGTCTCCATTAAAAAAAAAACTCCAAAACACAGTTGGAGAGCTTCCGGGCTGATGAACGTGTGAGTGAAGGTGCTGGGGAAGCTGTACACCCAGAAGGGACGTGGAAGCCCATTGCCCCTTCAACACACCTAGCCCTATGCACCTCTTTCTGTCTGGCTTTCCTGTGGTATATCCTATTATAATAAACCAGGAATCAGGTAAGTAAAATGTTTGCCTGGATTCTGTGAGACACTTTAGCAAATTATTCAAATTGGAGGTGTTGACAGGAGCCTACAATTTATAGCCAGTGGGTCAGAAGCACAAGCTGGCCTGAGAGTGGCACCTAGGAAGAAGTGGGGGCAGTCTTACGGGACTCCTAACCTGAAAGATTTGACACTATCTCCAGGTGGACAATGTCAGAATTGGGTAAACTGACACCCAGCTGATGTCACTTAAGGGTGCGATGTGTGGAAAACATCTGGCCTCAGAAGTGAAACAGTACTGTAGCTAATAGTAGGGTGAGTGGTGGTGATGGTTTAGTCGCTAAGTCGTGTCCGACTCTTGCGACCCCATGGACTGTAGCCCACCAGGCTCCTCTGTCCATGGGATTTTTTCAGCAAGAATACTGGAGTGGGTTGCCATTTCCTTCTCCAGGGGATCTTCCCAACCCAGGAGTCGAACCTGGGTCTCCTGCATTGCAGGCAGATTCTTTACTGACTGAGCTATGAGGGAAGCCCAGTAGGGTGAGTAGAGGACACATAAGGGGAAGAGACCTTTTCTTTACACAATATATAGTATAATCTTTATGTGTATTTTATTTTTTCAGACCTACCAGTCTTGCCTATTAACAGAGGCTCCAGAAATAGAGAATGAACAGTGGTCCCTCTTCAAGCTCTCTTGCTTTTTTTTTTTGCCATTAAGCCCATTCACCTTTATTCAAAAATATTCCCTTAACATTCTCTTCTCTCACTCCATATGGACAGGTAAAACCAACCCAGTAAGCCCAGCACAGCGGTAAGCACATAAACAGCGCTCAGAAAACACTGCTGAATTGATAAATAAATTATTTGGTATGTTCTCTTAAATCTTGACTGGTATTTATACAAGAGAAGTTAGAATTCAATTTAAGGGCCAGAAGAAAGTTGAGGGATTGTTCAATTCTCTCATTTTAAATACAAGGAATTAAAGTTAAAAAGAAAGAAGAGGGAGTCTCCCATCTCCCAATCCAATGCTCTTCTCTCCACACACACTGGATTATCAAGAGGCCACTTCAGTTCTGAAGAACACCAGAAAAGCAGGGAAACTGGAAAAACCACAATCACCAGGATCATCTGACAGGACTGACAATGACCAAGAAATAACTTCATATTGCCTAATGCTTACTCCCCGAATTAACATAGACTGAATCTCCTATAACTAACTAGGAGTCCTATTTTAAAAAAGAATAAGCCAAGACATGGAAGCAACCTAGATGCCCATCAGCAGACGAATGGATAAGGAAGCTGTGGTACATATACACCATGGAATATTACTCAGCCATTAAAAAGAATTCATTTGAATCAGTTCTAATGAGATGGATGAAACTGCAGCCCATTATACAGAGTGAAGTAAGCCAGAAAGATAAAGAACATTACAGCATA